TTCGTTGGCCATGCAATATTTCTATTCGTTTATTTCCTATTTAATTTATTTTTGTTTTTGTCTCTTAGATTCGATGCCTATATTGTTGATATCTACCCTTTCCGTTGGCCACGTAATATTCTTTCTATTCATTTATCTATAATATCTTTATATTTTATTATTTATGTTTTTATGGAGAATTTTAATATATATACAATTATTAATGATATTAATTTTGAAATTATTGCCGATTTAAGGATTATTATTATTATTATAATTATTCTTATTATACTATTTTTCATAATTATATTTCTATATATGGTAGTTTTTATTTTTATTATTGCAATTATTGAAATTATCTTTTTATTCTTATTCGTATTCTTTTTTTTATTTTTATTCTTATAATTCCCATCATTATTAATATTATTCTTATTATCACCCCTAATATTATTCCTATTGCTATTGCAATTATTATTACTATTATTCCTACTTTGGGGGGGGGTAGCTTTGCCAAAAAATTCTACTCCGCAAAAGGCAAAAATTAAATTCAAGATTAACGAAAATTCATCTTACAAATCATTATGAATAAAATTAAATGATCGGCTATTACAATGATATATATAATTTTGATTCTTATTAACATATAAGAAAAATAAAAGATATATATAGGATATCAACAATTAAATAGAAGATATATTTATATATTGTATTTATTAATTTTAAAGAAATCATTAATATAAACAAAATTAATATCCATCATATAATATATATAACACACATAAATACAACATATTTCGGCGAAAGATAAAACGCTAGATGGCGCAAATTTTATCAATATTTTTTATTAAAATAACGAATCCCGGATTTAGGAATTTAAATTGTTACCCAAATTAATTAAATATAATTTTAAAGATTTATTAATAATATTTATATTTAATATTTATTAATTTTTAAAGTAATATTAAAAAAAGGTATTATTTAAAAAAAAAAAAAAAAAAAAAAACTATAAGAAAAAAATAATATCCGCAATCAATATTTAAAACATAATATTTATAAAAAAATAGATATCGCCCAATTAAATAATAATAAATTCCATCACAATCCCATAAAAATCATTTTACATAAAATACATTATCGAAATTAAACTTAATATATCCTATAATTAAATAAATCATTCATCCAATTTTGCATTATATCCCCATCCTCAACCTCCTCCGCATCATAACAATCGAATATATAACTAGCCATCCCAACATTAAAATCATTTCCTCCGTCCGAAAAACGAAATAAATCAACTAAAATTTTAAATCAAAACCTTCTTAATTAATTTCATATTTACTAAATTATATCCTATTAAATCATCCCCTCTATAAAATATATTTCTCTCCGAAATAAATCTCTATAAAATACAATCAACCAAAAATATATAATTATATAAACAAATATATATATAGACATCTATAAAATAATAGAATTTTATAAAATATTTTAAAATCATACCTTTATATTTGTCTTTTTATAAATTATCCAAAACCTTCCAAAATTCAAAAAAATATATCTTTATAACATATCCTCCTAATTGAAAATCCTAAGGCCCTGGATTTTGTAGAGCTTCCTCATACGAAGATCGAATTTCATTTAGATTCCATTCCAATTCTAATCAATCCTATCATGTCATATCATATCATAATCCCATTCCATCCCAACCAATCAAATCTAAATCAATATCAAAAACGATTCCAATATATCAATATCAAAATCAACATCTAAAATCCAAATCCAATCGATTATTTCAATATTTTCTCCATAGAATGAATTGCAATATATAATGACCTTCTCAATTGAATATTTTTGTGAGCTTACAATCTGCTTGGCAGATCTGCCTTTGAAGCTCTGATTCTATTCAGCAATTGCCTTCAGCTATGGCGCCAATTCTCTTGAGCCTGCCATGGACACTTAAAATCCAACGTGGGCGGCTGTGGTATGGCCGCAACTCAAGACTTCTACGAGTACCAAAATAGACGTTTGCCTTTGACCAACATGTGGTCTACGACGCGTTTGCATTGATTCTTTCCAGATCCCTGAGTGGTGTTTCTTGAACAAAAATAACACGTCTCAAGTCTGCTTGTAGGTTTAAAGGGTGCCACCCCAATATATATCTATAGCACATTCTAGCACCAACTCTGCAAATGGACTTCTTCCTTACAAGCACAGCCATGGACGGCGGCATGGTGATGTAGTCAATGTTGTTGCGACAATTGCTAGCAAAAGGCAGCACTTCTGCTCATTACGCTTACCCCTCCCGATCCATTCGATTTTGGGCGGTTTCGGTGTCCTGCGCGAAGTCAGAGGGCGACGGGGCCAGTTCCGGAATCAATTCCTGGCGTTCGGACTAGCCACCAAGGGACGGAATGGTCTGCACCAGGTTTTTCATATTTGTTCACGATCGATCGCACGAGTGAACGACCGACTTGAAGCACTCCTCCGACCCTCGTGAAGAAGTCCGAAGCCACTCTCTTTCGGCCAGGCCTATCCTGCATCCACTGAACACGTCCTCACCGGTCAACTCAAAGACTAAAAAAAGATGTTGAGGTTTTCAAAAGAGGTGAATTGATGTGAATTGACCTTATAGGATCCTACTGGGGTACCTATGGGATAGTCGAACTAGGTTTCTTCAACCTCAGTTGGATCCTTCATCAACGAAAAACGCGGGGTTCCTGGGCTCCCACCGTCTCCCCGACACCGAAAGGGTCTCTTCGGTCTCCACGCCACCCGTGGCGCCAAGGGTGGCCTCGTGGAGGATGGCGCTTCCATAGGCCTTGCCGCGTGGGTGGCAGTGGCAGCACCTCAACGTCTGAGGCCAGGGACGGAGAGACCGTCTTTGTTTTTCAAAAAAAAGGAGAAACAAAGACCGTCCATGGCGAAGAACGGCGATGACAGACGTCTGTCCACCGACCCCCACCCCCCTCGCCAAATGACCAATTGACGTTGGTCGAGGGATCTCCTGATTTCAAAGCAAAGCCTGTTCCACCAATGAAAGGAATAGATGGAAGGAACATGACGGAACAGTGAATAGTGGTGACACGGTGTTCCAGTTTTCAGGCAAAGGATTGATGGAAGCACCAGCTGCCTCAGAATGCTAGTCTCTGAGTCCTTGTGGACATCCTTTCAGCTACCAAGACCTGTGTTCTCAGCCAGTCTGCATTCATAGTCCCTGTACTACTCCCTGTGTATGTTGATGCTCAGCTTCAGGTTGGAGTAAGCTAAACAGTGCGTACAGCCCATTCTCCATGCTTTGGGTCTTTAGAGCTGAGCCTATTTGGAGATTTGGAGACCAAGCGATGAAGCCTCGCGTTCACTGCTGGACGATCAACAGGCTTTCTCTCGGCACAGGTGGCGCATCTCTCACACCAACTCTGCCGTGGACTCTTTGGTCATTGGGGGAGAATCATTCACCCCTCAGGCGCACAGAGACATTCCGAACTGGACAGTGTCCTGACGCTGCATGTTTACTTGTTTGGATTGAGCCATTGCAGCTACCCCATCCACGATGACTCCAGTCTCCAACCCCTGGGTGCCACCATTGGGTATGGTCTGCCTCTGGGAGCGACTGACACATCAGTAGCTTGACCAGGCTGTCACAGAAGAACTACATTCCAAAATGCCAAAACCAACACCAAACACAATCATTTGCGGCCTGGATGAGCAGGTTTAACAAAAAAAGCTTGCTTTGGGATGACATGCCCACGCTTGCCCCTTGAATGACGCTTGTGTTGACACACGATCACCATCGCTTCTGCTCACCATCGCCTCTACTGGCTGTTTTCCATGTTCCACCCGTGGCAAGCCTGCTTTCCGGACCCAAATCATCACTGGCAGTCTTGAGGTTGGGAGGGTTCCTGGATACTGCAATCTTCAGCACAGGGACCCCAATGTATACCAACCAAAGAAATGAGGAAGTTGACCAGTATATCAAACGCAATAGACTTTCTCTATTTGGAGACATCTACAGAAAGAACAAACGCAGCGGCATTTGTTTTGTGTGAGCTCGAAGCCTGCAACTTCTCGCGTGCGCCCCAAAGAGGTGTCTTCTCTAAATGGGATGATGAGGCTGGTGAGACCACCGGAACGGCACCACGGCACCGTCCCGGGGCCGTCCCGACCACACCACGGCAAGAGGGAAAAAGAAGGGAAGATGAGCCGCAGCTCATGCGGCGACGTTTCGCGAATCCTGGCGGAGTGTGTGGGTGGAAGTGGCAATGGAGGGGATGAAGGCATTCTTGGACAAAGAATGGTGTTAATGAATATTGTTTTGTGGCTCCAGAATGGTTTTTGCAAGTGTTTACATCTTTGGGGATCTTTGGTTCATCAACGGTCTATACATGTCCCACACCCTGCAAACGTGGATTAAACCCACCATGTTGCTGTTTGGATTCACGGGGGGGGGTCCGTTTGGTGATGAGGGTCTCGTGCGAGCCATCCCCGTGGAAACCGGGAAAGAGATAAAGACATCTTCCCCCAGGTCCTCAGATGGGGATTTAGCTACAGGAAAGCATCATCACCAAAAACAAGGAACATGTGGAGAGGTCAGTATACTGCAGGCGCTGCCACGTTTGGCAGTGCATGGTGGCACGTACAAGCTTAGAATCGCCCACACTCGCCACCCACCTCTGGGACACAGCCAGGACCCATGAGACAACCAGCCGGGCAAATACCGCTCAATATGTCTATTGCATATATATATATATTTATGTTATATATACATACTATATTCCATTATATTCCACGGCATACAATGTCATGCAAGATGAGTAGGTCTATTGTACCATAGGTCTATTCTATAGCTATGTCATGCAAGCATACAATCCTGTTTGTGGTTAGGCCAAGAGGGCAAACAGCAAACATCTATCCCTGCACGATGAGATACATGGAGTCCGCAAGCACTCCTCTAAAACATGTATTGCCAACTCCTTAGATTTCCCAAACGCTTCCGCATTCACAGGCAACCTCCAAACAACAAGATATGAAATCCCACAACACGTCGGGCTAACGGACACCGCATGTTTCAAACCCTCCTGGATCCTGCTTCTTCTTCTTCTTCTTCTTCACTTCTCTTCTTCTTGAACTCTTTCGCTCCTCCACAGCATCGGCCGGCTCCGGCAGCACACTCGCCGCTTCCTGCAAGGCCTCGCAGTCTGCCGGGAGAGGCCGAGAGGTGTGAGCTGTGGGGGCGAGCGACGGGTGGTACCACATCTCCAACAGCTCGTTGGGGGTCGGTCGTTAAGCCCTGAAGGGTCTCAATTGAAGGGTGCTGGACGTTGGATGATTTTTGCAGCTAGTGGCTTAATGAACTATACTGTACCATTTTGGAATGATTCAACCAAGACTTCACTCTCCCCCAAAAGATGATAGAAATGCACCTCTCTTCCCTCTACCAGCACCTCTAATTACCACCGAGAGGTCTCCGAAACGGAGGCTTTTGCAGAGTTAAAAAGCTAGCAGGTGGGTCCTGATATATACTGTACGTATTTCCCTGGCGCCATGAGCTCTCGATTGTTCCTTCTACCCTTTACCGGTCTCTCTGGGACCGCCGGTCACAGGGTCATGGGTGAAGCATTCTCGAACATGGCGCTTCACGCCCCAGCATGGTTCCGTTCGAGCGGCATTGGGGTGATTGGCATGGTTCCGGGGTCCATGCAGGTACATATTTCTTACATGGAGCCGGTTGGACCAACCATTTCCGCACCTGTCACCACCTTCGATTCGTGCTCTTCCACAAATTCAACATATAGCCCTAGAGCTCGGGGGGGTCAAAGACCGCAACTTCGTAAATTGGATGTACTATGACTATTTCCATTGATTTCCTATCATATGATCATCCCTAAACACAAGCTCCTTCCCAACTCAGCGTGGGATTCTGCGACCCTGGAACCCATCCGGATGGTAAGAGAGGATATTGACAATGATCTGCGTGAATATCCCAAACAAATAGTCCAAACAATCCATGCGTCATGCATGCAAGATTAAAAAACGACCAGGACCCCTTCTCCACGACACCAGTGTGTCGATGCCGTCGTAAATTCTCACGGATGATCAAACCGAAACTTCAAAACTTCCTCCGAGCTTCCAACATCGGCACCACCATACTGTGTGATCCGTCCCAAACAAGTTGCTGATTAAACAACAGCTATAATCAGCTAGATATAGTATATAAAATATATAAAATGCTAGAAACAAACAAAACACAAGCCAACACACACACCTCTGGCCCCATGCCCGTGACCAACGACCGGTTCCCAAAGGGGTCCCGCATCCACGCCTTGGAGCCGAGGCTTCGGGCGAAGCCCAAGATCCCGGACCTCGGTGTGTCCACCGATTTCGATTAGCCGAGGACGGAGCCAAAGGAGACGTCTCAACGGCCGAAGTGCGTTGATTTGGGCGGAAAGCACGGAGTCGGAAGAGACAAGAGATGAGCACTTGGTGCTTCAGTGGTGGAACAGGTGGGTGTTTGATAGGTGTTTTATTCTTATTTTGTTGAGGGTAGAACCATACACAAAGATATATGCCATATCTGATAGAGTGTCTGGGTCTGATGAATGGTAAGAATCGAAGAGGTCATAGGTGCCCTGGCACCTTCCTGGCATCTTCAGGTCCTTCTACCCAAAGTGAAAATCACACTGCGCTGAGAAATGCAAGCACAAAAACCCACAAGAACTGCACTCACTGGGGCTCAAACAGCTAGGGTAACAAACTGTTAATTTGGCCGTAAAACCATCTGTCTATATCATTCTGTATCTTCACCCATCACCTGTGTGTTGATCCTTGTTGTTCTTCGGGCCGTTGCTTGGCATCCCCACACGGATGCCAAGTCCCTGAGTTCATCCGGCAGCTGTGCCTCCCTGGGGTCACGAAAGACCTGGCGAGCGGACCGAGCTCCACCGGTTGCCATGTCTGGGCCATCTGGGGGGGGGCAAGCGAAACTAGACTCGAAATGTCCAGGTCCTGGTCACGTTCCGGTCCAAAAATGATATATACTGTACTATATATATATATATTAACTTTATATACTCTGTATATATATATATACACCAGCACCATCCAGTTTCAATGGTTAGTGGATAGACAAGACATCTTCAGAGAAGTCTATAAACCACCCTTGGGGTGGTGCTGGTTTTTGGAAGACTGTCACTGTTTCGATGGTTCAGGGACGTTCAGGGTAACCGTTCACTATGATTCATCGCAGATTTGCAGAGGCAGGAGCGACCGCACCCTCTCATTGAGGCCTGAGGCCACCCAGTCACGGAGGCCATGCATTTTTACTCGGTTGGTCTCAGATCCAGTTCCCTACTAGGCCTTATAGGATAGGCTTCTGTTTGGCGGAGGACCGGATTCGGAAAACACGGGACCAAATCCGAGAGATTCACCCAACGGCCTTTCGTGACAACTGTGACATGCCGAGTGACCCTGTTTTTCGATGAGGTGACCAATCTTCGACCTGCATCTCGGCTGCTCGGTTTTGAAACGCGCCTGCCAACGGTCGGGAGGAATGCCGGCGAAGATGGCCTGACCGCGCGGAGGTGGCGCAGAGGACCGGGACAGAATGAGAGGACTGAGAGGGAGGAAGAACATCACCGGGCAAAGACTTTGACGCTTTTTTTGGTGGTTTTTGATCATCATCCACCTGGGGGAGAACATACATATTTTGTCAAGTGTAGTCGTAGTAGACGGTTTTTCTGCCTTTTCGGCCTTGACACTAGCGCAAACGATGGGGTGGCCCGTGATCCGTGGAATATCCGCCCTCGCCTTCACACGGGGGAGAACTTCTCCGCTGCACAAAGCCGGTGTTGAAAGGAATCGGCCTTCGGATAGTCCAGTATAGGTGTACAGTGTACAGTACAATATATGGGAATTTGCCTTACTGCCCGTACTATCCATACCATACACCTTCCGGTGTCGAAAGACATTTGCCTTTCAAAGAATGAAGTCCATGTTTAGCTGGCAGGAGTCTGGGAGGGAGCCTCAAAGGACAAACGGATCGGTTGTATCATGTTGTATCGATGTGATGTTTGCTGGGCAAACTGAGAGGTTCCGCAGCTACCGATGGACGACCTCATGCTACCAGCCATCTGACCGATCGTACTGCAATCGATCGTGGAAATGCTCCTAGGGAGTGACCGGATGATTTCTTCATGTGTCACCCCGTTAAGAGTGAATTGTCCAACCCTCACCAGCTCTCACAACCATATACGTACAAATATATCTGATGATTTTGCCATATTTTGCCAAATTCAGATCACTGCGGACCTCATCCACTGAAGCGGTGGGGCTGACCTGGCTCTGCGCAAGCTGGAACATGACCCCTTTTTTTTCTGAATTGTTCATCACTTAAGAGAAAGCATTGTCCTTGGCAGGAAGACAATCAGTGTACATCACCCCATGGAATTGCAAACAACCGTGAAAGATTGACCAAGATTGTCCTAGAATCATCTTCCGGATCTGACAAGCACCGGAACATTTTATCTGTTTTGTATGGCCCCTGATTGTCCTACTGCTGGTCACAGGGAATCTGAATGACAATGGATTGTGCCCAAACACGTCATGTATGCAATAGTTACCTACATTAGGATCATAAGTGGGTAAACAATGGTAAACATATGTAAGTAACCATTCCATACATGGACCAATACATGGATGGTCTGGGATACTACTTTCATTGACATACTGGCCTTACGAGTCTCTCGGAGATATAGTAAACGAAGTCCAAAGCAGCGGATTCTGACGATGCTACACCAGGTCTGCAACTTATGCCCCCAGTGACACCCCAAACTGCGGGATAACACCAAGCCACCGTTGGGCCCCAAAATACGGAGAACCCTGCAAAATAGCATCCCAGTGGTTGCCAGTATCCCACTTAAAGAACACACCTACTACTTGCTGAAGCTACTACAAAGCCTCTTCTAATCAGTTCTTGCATCATTATGATCTTCAAATTGGAACGCTAAGCCTCCAGCCTCTGTGAGAGTGCAGGTTGCCCAAACGAAAGGTCATAGGAAATACCACTTCAAAGCTACACCGACCTCAAAACTGTAGCAAATCAATCTGTGTTCGTTCAAGTAGGTTAACAATCCAGTGCACCAGCAACCCGCCTGGTCTCCAAATCTCCAGATCTACCCCACCTGGTTTGGCCCTTTTCTTCCAAGAAAATCCCTGTCTCACATGTCTCCCATCTTTGTAAGCCAAGGAGTCCGGCAGGTTCACCGCACCTGTCGAATCAGGACCTTGCTCACTTGCACCGGATGCCTCGCGGTGATGGTCTCAAGTCCCAGCGTGACTGGATCGAGTGGCGAGTCGCCGGTGTCGATGCGTGCGATGAACACATCGTTGGCCAGCGTAAACCCTGGGCGGTTTAGCCTGAAGCTCAAGTGACTCAAGCCGATAGAGGTCTTGGTCTGTGAGAGACCATGTTTGGATTAGTGGGCGAAAGCCACGAATGCTGGGGCTCCAAATACTGCCGTACTGGTGCTTGGAACCTGGCAACAAACCCCACTCACCCCATTCCCATCGAAACGAAGAGTACAGGGGTTCGAGTATAGGTACTCTGTACTTGACAAACACAGAACACTGCCAGCAAAAATAAGAAACATAAGGTAAACATGGCACATGGAGGTCCTTCTCGTCTTACAAACAATATTAGTATTCCTGGCATACATTGGATGTACTTAGCAAACGTTGGTAAATGATTCTCCTGTACCAGGAATGCCAACTTCGAGGATGTTCGACATGGATTTTGAGGCTTACCAGTTCTATAGACCGATCAATGGACTCCTTCGTATCCACACGGTTTCTCTTGATGATTCACCTCTTTTATGCAACATTCTGTGCCAAACGGAACGCCTCCCCCCCCAAAAAAAAGACAACGAACCGAGGCTCCACAGCAGGCACAGCAGGGCTCCGTCCGGTCACCCGGTGACCGCGCGCTGACCCGCGCGGAGAGCGGTCGGCGCCTGCGCAGCAGTTCTGCGCAAACAATGGGATCCCGCTCGCCACTGTCGCCCACCAGCACCGCCTGGCAGCGGCCCAAAACGCCACGCTTGCGTTGCGAAGATCGACTGGATGTCATGTGGAAAAACATCCCAGGAACAAACCTTTTGGCGGCTGAAGTTCAAAACATGAATGGCTGCTTCATCCTGGTTCAAAGCTCTGGGACTTCTTCAGTCATCAAAGTCTTCCAGCAGGCTACAGTAGTCTACCTGTATATACGGTAATCTGCAGTAGTAGGCATCTTCTCTTCAACCTATAGTCTCTTCAGCCCCTATACTGTCTGAAGATCCACATCTCTTTAAAACCTTCAATGTCTTCAGCAGTAGTCAACATCCAACATCTTCCAACAGGGTTCTCTTCGTCCGATCTGATGGTTTCATACACAGTCCAAGATGCAGAATGTTGTATAGATATGCAACCATTGAATCCATGAACTATGTATACCCTATGAATCCTATGAATCCATGGTTTCATATCTTTACAGGGTCTGTTAAAATACCCATGTATACCCTATAAAATTCCTATGAACTCACTCCAACAAGTATGCATGACGCATGACCATCTCCCTACTTGCAGAAACTGAAACGTCCACCATCTTGGGACTCCTCAACGGACGCCCCACAGCGGTCCCGGACGTGTACACCGCGCCCGGTGCCAGCGTCACTAACGGCCGGTGCTGGGCGCCTTCTTTCGGGGGAACTGGCGCAGCAGCTCGGAGATGGTCTGCTCTTTGAAGGCGATCCTGTCCTCCTGCGCGGCCGTGCGGACGTGCGGACGTGGGCACTGGCCGTGCGCCACGAAGAGAGAAGAGACCATCGATTTCGTGGGTGTCCCAAGAATCGCCAAAGGGGCCGTGGGGGGCTTGTATCGTGACTTTGCGAACGGATTTGCTGAATCTGGGGTGAAGATTAGGACCTTGAAGATTGTATTATTTACATAAGATTGCCTTGCCGCCTTGCCTTGTCATTATCTTCTTGTCACTCTTATGGTCTATAATGCATTCAATATTGAAGGGCCAACTCCCACGTATATCGATTTATATGCAGCCGACTACTATAGAGTGGACCTCAAACGACACTGTCGACCTCAAACGGCGGAGTGCCGGACGTGCCAATGTTCAGAACCAAGGAGAGGTCTGTGATTCACTACTGGGAAACACACATGGTCACATGGTCTACGTCAGGATGATTCCCAAACAATCATGCTCTTTAGGGAATCTGAGAGGTTGAAGACTTGGCCAAACATGCGGCCGTTTGAGACCGGCCGTTTGAGACCGGGTTTTGCAAGACCGTCGGTTGCAGGGACCCATCGACGCCGACCGGGCGCCTTGGAACCGCCCAAAGGCCGCAAGAAGACCGGCGCCAGAGGGAAACCTCTCGAGGATTTCGAGCTGGGGCGGAGCGCCGTTTACGGGGGGAACTGAAAAGCACACCGGAAGACGTGAGCCCCAGGGTGCGCTGTGAAAAAGAGTGAATTTGAGAGGTGCCCAACCACTATGGAAAAAGAAAACATATGACTTAATTAAGGTGTCTCCTGCCCAGCTTCTCCTCAGAACCTCTCCATGGGTCCAAAAATGTTTGATTTCTGAAGACTTTTTGGTGTCCGTGAAGAAAATCACACACACAAATAATTACGCACATGTTCCACAGCTCTTTGGAGGGGAGCAAGAAAAACAACAACAACAACGACAACAACAACAACAACAA